AGGGCCCCCCCCCCCCCAGCAAACCAATGAATTATCTTGTGGGTTTTTCCCTGTTATTTTTGTCTTGACTATGAATTTTTCTAATTTTACGTGTCATGTTTATTTTGTCCATGTAACATGAGCCATGAGGAAAGGTCTTGTCAAAAGACAAGCTCAATTAAAAACTTTCATTCCTAAATTTGCTATCTCAAACTAAATTCATAAGGAAATAGTAATTGATTGTAAAATATTTAGTGAACTTGAAGATTCTCCTAACAATTTAAGTTTTATCCATCTAACTTTTGTTTTAAATCTTTCCTTATTCGAACCATATAAAACCCTAATATTTGGAACTTTATTGAAGAAGATTTGAAATGTATGACAACATTTTCTATTAAGAAGATATATCAACTGATGAGGGGTGATTTTTCTAAAGTGCAGCGGAGGAAAATGGTCTATGCTGGTGAAATTACAAGTAATTACAGTTGAAAATAAGATGAAGAAAAATAAATAAATATTCTTCAAGCTGAGGCGCGGATATCTTGCTCTCTTTAAGGAGATTCAAGCCCACTGCGATAGCATCTTCACCGGTCCAGCAGTAATACTCTTGACTTGTCCCCTCCGGGATATAACAACCGGACAATGTCGTATGACTCGAACAAACTCTGGACAAGTTATTTAGTCCAAAGCTCCACCAAAATGAACACCTTCCTTCAACAAAAATAATATTCTCTTTCGTAGAGAATAAGTTGGAGATTTAGATTTTCTCCTTCTCTTAACTCTCTTTTTCAGTACAACAAGTTCACTTTTTTCATACACACTATCATATTTTCCCATCTACAACACAAGGAAGAAACACCACTATTTATAGGTATAAAATTTCTTCCATAGAATAAATAACAAAGTAGTGGGATATTAAAATAGTAGAACATGGGTTGGTGGTTACAAAATTTAATATTTAATGAGTAATTAGTGGTAGATCATGACATTAGTGGTTTCAAGAGTTACACCAAAATAATGTCCATTTTCTTGCCAATTTATAACCACTATCTCACAAGAAATAATGCACTTTAATATTATAATTTTAATATTAAAATTCACTAACACCGACAGTCTACAACAACTTTGAATCTCAAAAATGGGTATTCATCTTAAGACTAGCAGCTCGTGGTAGATTGCCTACTAAGGATATGTTGATGCACTGGGGAGTAGTTGATAATCAAATATGTCATATGTGTGCTTTTCAAGATGAAAGTATATCTCACCTCTTTTTTCGCTGTGATATATCTGCACAGGTGTGGGACAAGCTCTTGCAGTAGCAAAGAATTGCTAGAAAAGCTATAACTTGGCCAGATGAATTGAAATGGGCTGAAGTTAATGCTAAGGGAAGAATTTCAAGTGCGGAGCTCTATAGGATGACCTTGGCTGCATGTGTTTATCACCTCTGAATTAAGAGAAATCAAAGAATTTTCTAGGCTATACAAGCCGATCCCAAGAGCATTGTCAGAAGAATCATACAAGAAGTATTCGACAAAGGATCTTAGAGGAGTAGACTTACTAAGGAGCTTGAATTATTATCTAGATTAGTATAATTTGTATTGATTAGTAGGTAAGAAGAGTGGATGTTAGTTGTGCTAGTTGTGTGCTATAATTGCGCATCTACAGGTTTTTGTCTTTGACGGTACATAATGCTTTTGGTAATGAAATTTTTTATTTACAAAAATAAAAAAAAAATTGGAACTTTAAAATTAATTAAAATTTATCTTAAATTAATTATTTTCTTATTATAATTATTTTATATAACAATAATACATTCTATATTAATTTTTAAGTTTTGAACACATTAGAAATTTGAGGAAAGTTTTTAAATTCTAATTTTTATCTATTTATTTTATGTACATAAATAATCATTAAGAAAAGATAATATTTTCAAGCTTTTGTTTCTTTCTTTCTTTCTTATGTTTTAGCATGAGCGATGACAATTCTCAAGTTCCCTATCATGAATCCTCAACCCTATGAAGTTAAAATCAATATTCTACCCAAACCTCCAGATATTGTTCATAAGAAACCCACTCAAAATGAATGGAAGAACAAATCCTCATTCAAGGATATGTTAACTGCCTCTAGCCAAATGACTTTCACCCCAAATCTAGACCAGGCTGACATGGACCTAACAACAACCTCTCTAGAAGAAGAAGAGTTCGAGCATGCATCAAACTTCAATGCAAGAGGCATTAAAAGAATATCTCTAACCGAAGAAGATAGACAACGAATTTATGAGCCATGAAAATGCTCTATCATAATTAAGCCGGTGGGAAAACGCATGCTACACCATTATTTAAAGAAAAAGATCCAAGAATTATGGAAGCAAACAGAAGAATTCTCATTAATTGATCTTGGAGAGGATCACTATATAATAATTTTTTTTAAAAAAAAAGAAAATATGGATAAAGCTATCCATCAAGGACCATGGTTCATCAATGGCCACTTTCTATCCATTTCAAGATGGAAACCAAATTTTGTGGCTACAAATGAAAAGTTAACTACCTCAACAATATGGATTAGGCTCCCTCAATTGCCAACGGAATTTTATGATGGCAAGATCCTTGAGAAGATTGGAAATGCAATAGGACGCCTACTTAAAATTGATATTTATACATCAACAATACTAAGGGGTCGATATGCAAGAATTTGTGTGAAAATCCCTCTAGAAATTCCAGTTCAACCTTTCCTATATGTTGTCCACCATAAACAATATATTCATTATGAGGGTGAAAATTTTCTTTGTAAAAATTGTGGCAGATTTGGACACAACTAGAACAGTGTGGTTATATACATAAAACAAGCAAGGATATTAAACATCCAACAAAGGAACAACAACCTACTACAACAATGGAAGATCCAGAAGCAGAATGGAAAATAGTCTCCTTCAATAAAGGAAGAAAGCAAGGAGTAAAAAATACTTCTCATTTCATCAATAATCCAACCAAAAACTCCAACGGCCCAAGTATCTCCGTCAAGCTGTTTAATGCCAATACATGTAAGTATTTGGATACCCAAATATTACAATACAAGTCTAAAGATTCCATCAACTCCATACCACCTGCAAATGCTAATAATCTGACCAACAAAGTTAAGGAACAAACCACTATTCCTATTAAAAATTATTTCTCTCTCCTAAACACTAAGCAAACAGTTTTACAAGAAATCACTAATGATAATTCTAATAACCTATTAAAAACCAATAATAGCCATGCAAGTGAATACTTAGCCACTCAAAACAAAGATATTAACATGCTGGACTCTAACATGGCCTTTACTAAGGTAAACAAAATAGATAAAAACAGTGCCATGCAAAATGACACCCAAACAGACAAAACTAACCCTCCTAATAATTATAACCCTACTACACCTATTAACACTCTTAAACAAAAATCTAGCCATAATCTTAAGTTAACCAAAGGGAATGGACAAAATCTACTCCCTAGATATGGCAATATCCTCCCACCAACGCATGTTTGCCAAATGGCAACCAAGGAAAACAAAAGCAACCGAATGACCATTACCTTAGAAGACGAAAATAAGGCTCTTCCTATACAACTAGACATTGAGCAACCAAAAGCCATGCACTTAGAAATCTCAATCATTACCCTCTCCCCCGATCCCTCCCACTCCTCCAGTAGCATCAATCCCACACCTACCACAAGCTTATTAAATACTCTACCCTCCATTAAAGATGCCAAGACTTCCATCAATCCTAAGAAGAAGAACCTATATAATCCAAATCCTTCGACAACACAGACTACCAATAATGGAAAACCTTCCACCCTTACACCCACTAGAGAACCCTCAGATTGTCTATGCCCAACCTCCACTAGCACATGACTACCAACCTGTCTCGTGGATGGAGTTAGGTCTAACGGGACATGCAATCTCTTTCACAATGCCAATCAATGGCCAGGAAGAAATAGTGATACTCCACAACACTCATTACTTAGCCTAACTTATAACGGAGGGAATGAAGCTAGCCATGAACAATTACCTAAATCAGGTTTGGTTCAACAATATTATTCAACCAATGGCACCCTCGTTGAACCCACAAATGGTGCATGCAATAAGGAATCAATGAAATATGCCACCTCAATTCAACCCAATCAACCCACAAAATGCTCCCTTAGACCTATCATTCTTCCGTACAGAAATGAACTCTCAACTCAATCTCATATTCTTACCATGGGAGATCAACCAGGAGAACCAGGAACAACCAATCCCTCAAGTGTTCCATCTAGTATCCCCTTTACAAAACCATGCAGAACAAGTGCCAAGGCCAGTAGAAGCAGCTATGGAGGAGGAAGACGAACCTATCAACCTAAACTTAGAGCGAGTCCTAGAGTTCTCAAATCTCGACGGGATAAATGTGTTGTCACGACCTGAATTTCCTACCCTCGGGAGTCATGATGACAACTACTCGTGAAAGCTAGGCAAGCCGAGTATTATAGATTTATTACCCTTTTTCCTTAACCTTCTAGAATTTACGAATTTACATGTGATCCACAACGGAATGATTATAATAAACAGAAATACGAAAGATGAGAACTAATAGTTTAACCAAATAGTACAGAATCCAACATACAACTCTACCCAGAATTGGTGTCACAATGTCACGGACTATCTACGTATACAACAAACAGTGGTCTGAAAGAAAAATACAATCTGTCTCTGAAATACATAAAAACAGAATAGAAAGATGGAAGGGGACGCCAAGGCCTGCGAACGTCTGCAGGACTACCTCGGGTCTCCACTGCTGGACTGAAGGCAGCAACCTCACTGCTCCAAAAGCTCTAGCACCGGGATCTGCACATAGTACAGAGTGTAGTATCAGCACAACTGACCCCATGTGCTGGTAAGTGTCGAGCCTAACCTCGGCGAAGTAGTGACGAGGCTAGGACAAGACTACCAAATAAACCTGTGCAGTTATATCATATACAACAAATAATAATAATAGAAACTAGTAGTTAAAGATGGGAAGGGGGAACATACTGCGGGGAATATCATGTACAAATAGAATTTCAGTAAAGAAGCATAAGGTACACCATAAATCAATTATGAGCAAGAATAAGGAAAGACAGTATCAAGTGTACGACATCACCCTTCGTGCTTTTACTCTCGTTCTTACCATAAAAATCAATATATTCAGCACGGCATCACCTTTCGTGCTTTTACCTCACATAATCATGGCACGGCATTATCCTTCGTGCATTATCACTCATATCATGGCACGTCATCATCCGTTGTGCTTTTACATTTATAATATCGGCACGGCATCACCCTTCGTGCATTAACACTTACTCACAAATATCATGCACCACATCACCCTTCATGCTTTTACACTCTTCCTTACTCAAGCAACAATCACAAAGCAATACGAGGGAATACATAAAATCACAATAGAATCCCGGCAAAGGAACAATAATATAATAATAATATTCCGGTATTTACCATGAAAATTGTAACAATAATTAAATTTGTAAATGAGATTCTAAAAATACGTAATCTATTCCCGAGCTAGTTGTTAGAGCAGTTGATGCTGATAATATGGAGTTTAACGATGAAATGCAAGCTAAACCGAGATGGGGGACCTCGGGGTCAAAGTCAGGGTTGAATTCGAGCTATCAGGGATAGTCGGAAATGTGATAACAGTTGAAGATATAATTAAACAAGGCTCTTTACGGCCGATTCTGAGCTTATGTGATGAAGAACAAGTAAGAAAGTGATGTATATTAAGGTAACCTCGGGCCAGTGAGAACAAATAAGTTAGAAAGAAAAGAGAGAGATATTATTGCACTTATGGAGGAAATAGAGCAGTATCAGCCCATTACAAGGTAGCGTGAGTCTCCTTTATATAGGAGGGGAACTCGGCTACAAGCACATGGGCATTAATTACAAAGTAAGGAGATGGGATAGCTTGACGCGATGCCTCAGCATAGGCTCTGGATAGACCGACCCTGTCAGACTTAGCCATGTGCCTTGGAAGCTTCCCCCTCTGTCCTGGCTTCGATCTCCATTTTCTCTAAGTCGGGCCTCGACGAGACCCGAGGTCGGGAACTCGGTCGTGGACTCCCATCCCCGGGGTCTCGAGGCATTCTTCTAAAATTACTTGACAACTGTAAGTACGTGATTTTTGCTCTACGAGAACTACTCCCAAAAATTCTAAATAAAATAATTTTTGTTTGTTTGCAATTGTTGTGAATTTTGTTTTATTTTTCTTGTATTATTGGCATTTGTCCATGAATGTTTAGTAATGAAAAATACAAAAATATATGTGTTGCATTTGCATTTACAAATTAGGATTAATTAAACAGTAATTTGTTTTACGAAAATAAAAAATCGAAAAATAACGTCTTCGCATTTTAGTGTTTAATGTCAAATTGTGTGATTGTCTTTGTATTTAATTTTGGGTGATAATTATTATTAAGGGTTAATTAGTATTTTCTAAGATAATTTTTGGCTTTACAATTTATTAGGATTTAAAAAAAAGAGAGAAAGAAAAAAAAAGAAGAAACAAGAGAAGAAAGAGTTTATAAACTCGGACAAGGCCCAAACAATATATCCAGGCCC